ATTTGATAGCTTTTAAATTCTGCTGTTGATACTGACGTACACTGAATGCTTTTAAATTGCTTTGATTTTTAGACTTGCTTTATAGCTCAGCGTGGGCTATATTGTGTCACATTTTAATGTATTCTGCTCGTATTGGGGTGAAGCGACTAATCAATTCCTATTCGGTCACAGTGGCTGATAGGGTTGTTCAAGTCTTCTGTATCTTTATTGATATATTGTTATTTTGTCTGCTTTATTTTTCCTTACAAGCAGATAAATGTTGAAATATCCACCTGTAATTACTCATTTGTTTCTTCTCTCTCTCTTCTATCAGTGTTTCTGTAAAATTTTTGCAATTCTGCTATTAGGTACATTCTGAGTTAGTATTAGTGGGTGTTCCTGGTGAGTGAACCACTTTATCACTGGAAACTGCTACCCACCCGCCGCCTGTTTATTTCTGATCATGTGCTTCGTCCCGAAATTTACGACGTGATTTGTAGTCAGCCAACAGAGCCTGTTTTCTTTCTTTGGATTAATATTTCCAAAGCCTGTCAATTTCTATCCTTTCATCTTTAATCCATCTCTTTTTTTATGTTTGATATCTCAGGTGATTTTTAAAAAATGGATAATGTGCATCAGAGTCTCGTTTTTCACTGACTTTACAACCTTTAAGATTGAGTGTCCAGGCTCTCAGCAGCTGAATCCATTTCTCCATGTGGAGCCACGTTCCCACCCGGCCTCGCTTTTTCTTCTGCCTAAAGAAATAGTTCTTTTCATTTTTCTTCTCCTCCTCCTCCTCCTTCTTCTTCTTCTAACTTCTCCTCCTCCTTCCTCCTTCTCCTCCTCTTCCTCCTGTTCCTCTTCTTTTTCTCTCCCTCCTCCTCCTCTTTTTTTTTAAATTAGTGCCTACTTCTTTTTTTTATAGTGCCAGCTTTTTGCGGGTGAGGAATTTTCTTAGATTTATTTTTGCTGTTCAAAAAGTTTCACCTTCTTTTAAGAATAGGCTTTTCTAGAGCAGTTTTAGGCTCACAACAAAATTGAGGGGAAGGTACAGAGATCCCGAGTGTACCTGCTGCTGCCACCCGCCCAGCCCCCACAGCCAGCATCCCCACCGGGCGACAGGGGCCCTGGTTAAGACCCACACCCTGGCACTGGCACATCATCATCACCCAGAGTCCGTTTTACCACTAGTTTTGAAATATATTTTTCTGCTTTGGAATTCTAGGTTGACACTTATTTTTTTCTTTTGTTACTAATCAGCATTGCTTCAGTTCATTTTGGCTGTCATAGATTTTAGTGAGAAGTTAGATTTAATTTCTTTTTGTCTTTCTCTGGGGCTGCTTTTGAAGGTTTTTCTCTTGATCTGCTGGTTACTTTGGTTGTGATGTGCTGAGCATGGTTTTCTTTATGTTTATTGGGTGTAAATTTCTTTGAGCACCAAACTTTTTGGTTTGTGGCTTCCTCAGACTCGGAAAATGGCAGGCCGTTCTCTCCTCACCTACATCGTCCCTCGCCCACCCTCTTTCTGATTCCAAGCCCATACACCGTGGATGCTTGATGCTTTCGTGCAGGCTGGTGTCTGTTTGCTTTTAGTCTTTCCTTCCTTTCTTCGCTTCATTTCTTCATTCGTTTGTATTTACACAGGCTTCGGCTTATTGATCCCTTCTTCTGCAGTGTCATATGCTGTTAATCCAATTCAGTATAGTTTTTACTCAGATATTAGTTTTTGTCTGTGGAAGGTTCCATTTGGTTCTGTATCATCTCTTCATTATGATGTGGTTTTTTGGTCTCAAGCTTGGAGACATTTGTAGGGTTTGTAACAGTTCTTGTGAGTCCCTTGTGGCTAATTCTATCATCTTTGTCATCACAGGGTTTGTTGGTACTAATTGATTTTTCTCTTGGCTATAGACCATGTTCTCCTGCTTCTTTGCACACCTAGTATTTCTGATTGGATTCAGTATATCATAAAGCTTATATTGTTGAGTAATGGACTTTGTTGTTTTCCTTTAAAGAATGTTAGATTTATTCTGGCCCGTGTTTAAGTTGTTTGTAGATTAGTATGATTCTTTCAGGAATTAAAAAACTTGTCAGAGTAGTTTCAGAACAGTTAAGTCTAGAGCTCAACAGCCCTCCTACTAATGCAATTCCTTTCTGAGGACTTTCTTGGGGTCTCTCTGCTCTGCTGGTGGACATGCATCTTTCCCGGCCTCGTATGAGCTCCTGGGGTTTTCCCTCTAACCCCTGCAAGGTGTTTTCCTCGTGAACTTGCACCCTAAGCGTGCTCACATCAGCCCTCAGGCCAAGGTTCACGGGGCCTACTCTGCAGCCCTCAAGAGCTCCAACCCCCAGACACACTCTCTGGTGCTCTGCCCTAGAAGCGAGGGTGGATCTTGCTGTCAAAGACTTCAGTCGCTTTGACTCGGAGGATGGCTGGTCTGTTGGCCTGGAACCTAGTGGGCTCCAGACACTGTACGTGTCTCTTTGATCACAGCCCTGCTCTGCTTGTTGCTCAGTGTCTAAAACACCATTTTGCACCTTTGTCTGGTTCTCTAGCTGCGTGCTGTGGGAGGGCAGTTCCCATAGCAGTTACTCCTTTTGTAAGGTTTTAAAATTTATTTTATTTATATTTTTTCAGAGAGAGGGGAAGGGAGGAAGAGGGAGAGAAACATTGATGTATGAGAGAAAAGTCGATTGGCTGCCTCTCACTCACTCCTAACTGGGGACCTGGCCTGAAACCCAGCCAAGTGCTCTGACTGGGACTCAAAATGGTGACTTTTCAGTTTAAAAACAGAAGAACAACCAGAACTAACAGAAAATTGAACTGTATGGAAGTCTGACTACCAAGGAGTTAAAGAAGAAACACTCATCCAGACTGGTAGGAGGGGTGGAGATGGGCAGTCCTCTCCTGGTGGAGAGACGTTGGGGCAAGGCAGTGGCCAGAGGACGGGGTGGGTGAGGTGGTGGCTGGTGGAGTTGGCGGTCCTACATTCCTGTGTGGATACACCTCAAGGAACACCTGGGGAGTGACACAGACTGTCTCCAGTACAGGGAAATAAAGCCTCAAAACCTCTGAGTAAAAACACCTGTGGGGGTTGCAGTGGTGGGAGAAACTCCCAGCCTCACAGCAGAGTTCACTGGAGAGACCCACAGGGTCCTAGAATGTGCACAAACCCACCCACCTGGGAATCAGCATCAGGAGGGCCCAATTTGCTTGTGGGTAGTGGGGGAAGTGACTGAAAACTGTCAGAGAACAGAGCAAATGGCATTGTTCCCTCTTGGACCCCTCCCCCCACACATACAGCGCCACAACACAGTGATGTGGCTTGCCCTGCCCAGGTGAATATCTAAGGCTCTGCCCCTTACTACACAACAGGTGCACCAAGACCCCCCCCAAAAAAATGGGCCAAATGAAAGAACAGATCAAAGCTCCAGAAGAAAAAAACAACTAAGTGACAAAGAGATAGCCAACCTATCAGATGGACAGTTCAAAACACTGATGATCAGGATGCTCACAGCAATGGTTGAATATGGTTGAAAAATAGAAGAAAACGTGAAGGTTCAAAAGAAACCTTACAGGCAACAAGCAGCTGGGAAGAAGTATTCAAAGTCATGAAAGGTAAAGACCTGTATCGAAGATTGCTCTATCCAGCAAAGCTATCACTTAGAATGGAAGGGCAGGTAAAATGCTTCCCAGGTTAGGTAAAGCTAAAGGAGTTCATCATCACCAAGCCCTTATTGTATAAAATGTTAAAGGGACTTATCTAAGAAAAAGGAGATAAAAAATATGAACAGTAAAATGATAACAAACTCCCAACTATCAACAACCAAACCTAAAAAAAAAACCCAAAACGAACTAAGCAAACAACTAGAACAGGAGCAGAATCACAGAAATGCAGATCACATGAAGGGTTATCAGCGGGGAGAGGGAGGAGGGAGAATAGGGAAAAGGTACAGGGAATAAATAGCATAAATGGCAGGTAGAGAATAGACAGGGGTAGGTTAAGAATAGTGTAGGAAAGTCAAAGCCAAAGAACTTATATGTACGACTCATGGGCATGAACTAAGGGGGAAGGAATGCTGTAGGGAGGGGGATGCAGGGTGGGAGAGAATAAAGGGGGGGATGGGACAAGTGTAATAGCTTTAATCAATGCAATATATACCAAAAGAAAGAAAAGATTTTATTTATTTATTTATTTATTTATTTATTTATTTGAGAGAGGGGAAAGGAGGCAGGAAGAGAGGGAGAGAAGTTAACCTTTTTCGGTGCAAGGCCCTTTACTAGGCAGGGCAGAAGTGATGAAGACACGGTCCTTTCCCTTCACGATGTGTCAAATACTAAGATTGGAAATAGGCAAATGTGTACGATGTCAACATCAGGCAGTTTCATGAACAGGACACTCGAGTCAGGACCGTGTGCTGAATCAGAGGAGGGACAGCATTTCCATGGAAGATGATCTGTGTTTTCAAGAAGGAGGTAGGCTTTGAGATGGCTCCTGAGGGGCGGGTTAGTGTTGGGAGAAAAGCTAGGAGAGAGATTCTGGACCAGATATGAGGTTGGCCAGAGTGGAGGCATCGGTGGGAGGAAAACAGAAGGATCCTTTGCAGAAGAGCTGGGTGCCCCCCTTTCTCTGAGGTGCAAAGTGTTCTGAAGGGCTTGGGGTGATGCCTGAGAGATACAGCGATGTCTCAGAGACAGATTTGATGGGGACATGCTGTGTCAGGTAGAGGGACAGGACAGCTCATGGGTGTGGGTGGCAAAACAGCAAGGAGTATTTCAGGACAAACAAGGGGTCTGATTTCCCTGGGGGATTAAATTGACCAAAAAGGAGAAACCCTTGGAAACTCGTTCAGGACCCCTTGGGGATTCCTCTGGGAGACTGTACTTGACCTGGATTACAGGCAAGTCATGAACACTTTCTAAGTGGCCGATTTGGCACAACAACGAAAGTAACCAGGACTTTAAAAGCACAGACAGTCAAACTTGCGATTTTTTTAAAAAAAATATTTAATTGAACTTGGCTTCGACAAACTTCAAGCAGGCATCTTCACACTCGACGACATTCTCTTCATGTCTGGGGTCTGTCACTTCTTCCTGCGGCAGCACTTCCGGCCGCGGAGAGAGCAGGTGCCGATCTGCTCCTCCTTCGGGAGGCAGCTCAGCGCGGCGCAGCGGCCTTTCCTGGCTTTGCAAAAATACCTTTGCACTCTGGTTATGATTCCTGCATCACCTGCAAAGAGACAGGGGAGTATATGGGCAGGTTCTAGGGAGGCTGTGGGTATAAACACTGGACCTTTGGAATTCCCCAAGTAACCTATTTGTTGTCTTTCTTTTATTATGCTTTTAATTTTCTCTTTGTTCTATGAAATCAGGAGTCAGGTAGAAGGTAGCACCAGGCATCCAATCGACAAAGCATCTAAGGGCTACAGCTCAGCGATGTGCCCCCCATGGCGAAGGCAAGTGTGCCCACTGGGAGCACCCACCGCGAGGGACTCCTGGAAGGGCGGGGCTGGCGGTGGTCACCGGGGCATCTCCAGGGCCCCCAAGACACTGCCTCCAGCCACTAAGCTACTAAAAGGAAGCCTGTACTACTGTCCTCAGGTTAAGTCAAGCTTTCCTGTTGGTATTAAAATGTTGGTGTCATGCTTCACTAACAGGTATGTCTTTCCAAAAAAGGTGTCTTTTGTGAGCTACTTAGTCTGTTAAGAGAGGAAGGGGTTGGGTGCTGGGGGAAAGAGGGAAGGGACCAAGGGCCTAAGGACTTGGGTGCTGGGGGAAAGGAGGTAGCCCCAACTGGCAGTTACAAAACAGTCGTGGGGACGTCTGTAACACACCGGAGATAAAGTCCATAATAATTACAGTAACTACCTGTGGTACCAGTTGGGGTTCTGGAAATATTGAGGAGATCACTTTGTAAAGTATATAATTGTCTTGTACACTTAAAGCCAAAACAAAACAAAATTAAAGAAAAAAACAGAAAAATAGACGTTGATCAAAAAAGGTTGAAAAACCTGCTCCAGGTTCTTGATCCTTCCAGGAAGATCGGCGTCTATTTCCCACACAACAAACCTACCTGGTCTACACCTTCCCGAGGAATGAGGAGGGACTGACTTGAATGACATGCTACCCATCCCTTCCACCCTCTCCCTCCCAGCCCGTCTTACCTGGGACAGGTGTCAGGCACAAGAGCAGCAACGCAAAGAGCAGGTAGTAGAGCCTCATGGCTGACGGCGTCACAAGCACACAGACACTGGCCGGGAGGATGTGCTTGTTGACTTTATAAAGGTCCCAGGCCCACAGCCATAGGCAGAGCGAGCCAGGGTTGCAATTCCTGTAATATCACAGTGATGACAACGTGACGTAGTTCCTGGTGCTTCGTGCCAATGTCTCTTACCTAACAGGCCACACCCACCAAGCCAGAGGTTAGCCACAAACCTAAGGGGTAAAGCAAAGTGTGACATGAGCACACAGCTGTCCTTGTGCCCTCTGGGCTTCGGGGAGCCGGCCCAGGTCTGATTCCGACCAGGTTGCAGATGTAGACAGGAAGGACCTGCCTCCTCTTGGGTCAGTCCTGGGGCGTGTCGCTGGGAGATGACTGGTCCCTGCTACGGTACTTCCAAGCTTTTTGCCTTCCTCCTAAAGCCCTGGGAATATCTGTGGCCCCGGCCACCTGAGAACCTCATCGGTCCAGCCCTGGACATATTCAGAACTAGGTGTAAACTCAGACTGGGCCACACCCCGGGGCTGCACAGGTACACCTGACATTGAGGTAAAACAGGATCAACTTTTGGGTGATGAAGAAAGGGAGGAGAAATGGGCTGCGTTCCTGAGGCCCTGAGCCGATGCCCCTTGGCCAACCTGGGTGCTGTGACTTGGGCGAAACACGGTTTCCTCTTCATTGCCGCCTGAAAACTGCCAAACTCATGAGTCAAGAAGGTGTCTCATTTCCCTTCATCAGAGAAAGAGAATGCTGGGATGATCTACTGGGGGGCCTGGCAGCCCCTCCCTGTGGGTGACACCTCCTATGCAAATGAGGGGCTTTAGAAGACACACTACAGACCTCTGGTTACTCACGGCTCACGGCTCAGGACCATTCCAGGAAGTCCCAGAAGCAGGAGATGTCCTGTGGGTACAGAGTCCATGTTCAGTGGGCCGACTGCTTTCTTTATTTCATTAATAATTAGATGTACACATCGAGGCATGAAGTCAATGGCTTATTTTGTCCACAGACTCACGGGGAATTGTAGTCACTGTGATGCTGCCTGGCCGCTGCCTCTGGTGGATGCAGCCACGAGGGCTCCTCTGCCGTCCCAGGGTGTGTTGGTCCCAGGAGCGTGTGCTCAGGGCTTGGCACACCCGTCAGAGTCTGTAAGCAAACTCTGAACACCTGCTGGAGAGAGACCAGTGTCGTGTGCTTGGGGTTGTTGGGGTAGAAGAGGGACCAGGTCTGATTCTTTCCCTCGAGGAGCTGCCACGGAGGGAAGGGCAGGTGGACCCGCAGCCAAAGGAACCCCACAGGGTAAATTTCGATGAGCGTCGCACTGAGGGTTCAAGCACAGGGCTGTAGAAACATGTGAGGGAGGCGGTTCACACTGAAGGGTGAATTCAGTAGCAGATTTAAGAATTTGGAATTGTAGGCCCTATGTGATTTTGAAATCTGACTTTCCCTCCGAGTTTAGGAAGGGAGTGAGTATGAGGCAGGCTGGGCGCTGACTGTGGGCAAGTCCTCCTCCGTCGTCCACAGGACGACCTGAGGGGGTGCGGAGGGTCCTGCAGAGCGTCAGGACCAGCTGCTGGCCAGGCAGGCGGCTGTGGTGAGCAGGGCCTCGGGCCCTTGCTGGGGAGTTGCTTTTCCATGGGGAGAACAGGCTTCCCGGGGAATCCTGGCTCTGATCCTCCCAAGACTGGGAGGTGCTTCTAAGGCAGTGTTCCCATTTCACAGGTGGCCGTTTGGGGAGAAAAGTCCCCTTTCCACGTCAGCTGGTTGGGGAGCTGGGGGCGGCAGACTGCACTGTGGCACAGCCCCTTGGAGCATGTCTGTATTTTAAAAATGTTGTAAATGTCATGCAGGTTGGTGGTAGACCCTCAAACAGCAGAAGAGTGGGGTAGTGTTCCTTGCCTTTCCTCTCCCATGGAGAAGCACTGGTAACCGGGGTTTGCCTTTGTTTGGACACGTTCTGCCTTTCTTTTCAAGTGAAAAGTGCTTCCAGTCCCTCAAGTCATAGCAGCAGCTTGTCGCTGTCTGATAATTAATGGTGTCTGGACGGCATGACCAGAGCCGGGCACACTTCCTGGCCCCTTCGAGTCCTGGGTGTCGGACGGGTAGGGTTGGCAAATGCCTGGGACAGAGGCCCCCGGTTTTCTCCCAGGTCTGAGTTGGTGTTTTTCTGCATCGATTAGGTTGAGAGGAGACCCTTAGCTGCTTTGTTTCTGATGTTCCTCTAATTTTGTCACAACATGGAGCAGAGGTGTGGTGATGCCCGTTCTCGGTCGGGGGTTAGCACCGTGTGGGGGGAAGACACCCGGGTTGGAGGGGGACCCTCCTCCACGTCCACTTGCCGCTCCGCCCCGTATTATCTGCCTTTGCTGGGATACATGGCCGGAGTCTCAGAGCGTGTGTTCTGAGCAGCAAAGCTCAGAAAGTGCTGTGTGCCGTGTCTAGCTGCAGGGAGAGCCCCGTGAGTCTACGATAGGAGGCTGACTTGCGAAGTGCAAGTTGCCACGTGGCCCCCCAGGGGGACGACTCGTGAGGGCTACTCAGCAGTTGCAAAGTGGCTGGAAGATCGTGACCCTGGGCTCCCAGTGAGGGAGTCCAAGGTTCCAGCTCTTCATGGGCACATCCGTCATTTCACCATGTCACCGGCCTGTTGTATTCATGACAGAGGCCACAGCGAGCGTCATCTCAGTGTTACGTGTAAGGAGACTGAAGCTGAGAGAGGTTGGGTGCTTCGCCCTTGGCTGCCCAGACAGTAAGGGTCACGGCTTTGAACTGTAGGGGTGAGGATCTACAGACACCTCCCAGGGCCCTCTGCCCTCCAGCCCCCACATGTGGGGCTGGCCAAAGGGACGCACTGGCCAGAGAGGGGGAGGCAGGAACTGGTGAGGAGCCAGGGTACGTCTCTCCCTGTCCTTCAGGAGATACCTTCTCTGTGTCTCCACTTCCTCCCAGAAAAGCCACTTCTCTCAGGGTCCCTGCGGCCCCCATGCAGGTCTGGCATGACCCCAGCATCTGCTGAGTGGCCCACACCCCACTGGGACCATTGCTGCCTTCCACTTCATCCAGTGGGCCTGAGTAATGTCGTGTCTTTCTGCTGTTGCCAGTTCTGAGACGACTCACCGTACTCCTGGCTTCTCGGGTCTCCTATCACCTGTCAGCCAACTGTCTACATTAAACACCCCCCATTTGAGGATTCGTACATTTATCTCAACTTCCCTTGTTGGACTTTGACTGTCTTGCAAAGTCATGTTCTATGCCAGGGGTGCCCAACTTTTTGGCGTCTCTGGGCCACACTGGAAGAAAAAGAGTTGTCTTGGGCCACACATTAAATACGCAAACACTAATGAAAACTGATGAGCAAAAAAAAAAAGGTTTTAAGTAAATTTATGATTTTTCGTAGCCATCCTGGGCCACACGCATCCTGTGGACACCAACTGTCACAATGTTAACGTTTTGTGAATTCTCCCCCTCGGGGAGAAGTTACTTGGGGTAACTGCCCTGAGCCGCCGACGGCTGGGATGACGCTCTGCTCCACGCTGCCCTCCTGTCCTCTTCACCAGCTTCTTAAGATGCAGCATAAAGCGGGGCCTTCGAGGTGATGGCGGAGCCTTTCTGATGCCCGCTCGCCCTTCCTCACGTCAGCGTGTGGGGCGCTGCCTCGCTCAGCTGTGCCTCTGAAAATGATGTAGGCGAGGAAGGAGGAGAAACAGATGCTTTCCCCAACTCTAACCATAAACTACCTTTTCTTCCAGAAGGCGGCCCTTTGGAAGGCAAACCTTCTGTCTGGTCAGTGAGTCAGGCCTTCCTGACGTTTAAACGTCAGCACTCCATCTCCTTTGTCCATCTCCTTCGCCCTGCTTTGCGGCATTTGTGTGTCTGACAGTTGCCTGAAGGCATCTAAGCTGTGACACTGGCTTTGGAGGATATTGTCCTTCCTTTTCGAACTCAGCTGTGGGTCCGCCCAGACCAGCCCGTCAGACCCCTGTGGGGGGAGCCTGGGGCATCACGGGCAATTCGGAAGTGCTGCCACGTTGGCAGGAGAACCACAGGCCTAGAAGAAGCCTGTCCCCTACTGGTGGGGACAGTCCCCCAGTTGAGAGACACAGACCCTGCCTGGAGCCTGGTCCCCAGCCGAGCTCCACGGAGCCCTCCCGGTAGCACCAGGGTGACGGCAATCAAGTGAAATGCGCCGATTTTCCAGGGTTCCACACACCCAGAGCCAAGCCCCACACCCAAACATTCAGTCCCGTGAGTCACCGTGATGTGATTCTTGGCTGTCAGCTGCTTGGGTGGGTGGGAACCAGGGAGGCTGGGCGGGCGGCCTGGGAAAGGACCCCTCCTCTTCCTCACCCGCTCAGCCTCACTGTGGGAACTGGCCTCCCTGGGGCCTCGTCTGGCCCCACCGACCCTGCCTGTTCTCCCAGGGACTCTGGTTTCTGCTCTGTGTTGCTCAAGTGGAGGGAAGAGACGTGAGTTTGGTGAAAGGAATTGGACAGACAGCTCATCATGGAAGGCAGAAGGATGCCGGAGCACGGCCCTTCCTTCCCAGGTTCCTTCAGTCCTAACGCTCCTGCCTCCAGGTGCTCGTGCCCACCCAGGACCACCCAGAGAGAGGGGTCTCACTGAAGCCAGTTTTCCCTTTCCTTCTCTGCCCCCACCCCTGCCCCCGAGGGGGACTGGCCTGAGTCCCGGGCCCTGCCCGCATCCTGGGAGGGCTGGTCTAAGCCACCCTTCCTGACACCACCCGCGGGGCTGGTTCTTCCCCGCCTTCCTTTGTTCCTTCCCTCCTCCCTCTCTTCCTTCCACGGACGTGCAGCAGACGTTGAGCGAAACACTCAAACACTAGTGATGCCCACGACATAGGCTCTGGGCTGTGAAGGAGGCAGGTGAGGGTGATGGACGAGGGGACGGCAGGTGCAGGGCAAGTGACAGACACCAGCTGCAGGGAGCACAGGGGAAATGCCCAGCCCACAGGGGGGGACTCCCACCTCCTGAGGCTGGGCAGCAGGGGACAACACCGTGAGAAGTTCAGTGGTGTCCTGGGTCCAGGAAACAGCCCGGGGAGCTGGGATTCCAGATGGCGTGGGCTGCTTGGTGCCAAGACAGAGAGGGGTGCAGCCGGGGCTTTCCCAGGAGTTTGGCGTGAGGGATCTCGGACAACACGTCCCATGTTGGGGAGCTCAGGGCTCACCATGGGGGTGAGGGGCAGCCTTGGGTGGGCTTGGGCAGAGGTGCTGATCGGCGCTTCCCAATGTCTGGTTTGACTGCAGACAGCGAGGTGGGGTGGTGCTCGCCTGACGGGCCCGCTGGCCCCAGCTGCTCCGTTCTGCTCCTAGACCCACGCTGGTGCAAGGCCACACCGAGGGTCTGGGGTCGGGCTGGCTCTCGGCAGACCCCGGGCTCCCCCAGCCCTCCCTGTTTCCCACTCAGGTGTTTCATCTGCTTGGGGCCCCAGCTACCCACTCACTGTGCAAAGCCCCATTCTTTGGGGGGCACAGAACCATCCCCCAGCTACATCGAGTTTATCATTTCTGCTGCCACCTCCTGCGCCCTGCGGACCCACCACAGGGTTAGGCGTGCTTTGGCCCCTCTGCCCTCTGGAAGGTCTGGCTCCTGAGCGTGACCCTTCCCCCAGCTCCACCGGGCGCCTGTGGAGTCCCAGGGCCCAAGAAGGCCACGGTCAAGGCCTGTGCGGCTGGCGTGAGCCAGGTTTCTGCGTCTCCAGTTCCTCCCAGGTTTTCAGGCAGAGAGACCCAAACGGCAGGTTCAGACCCCTCCCTGGTGTCTCGGCAGAAGGGCTGCCACCTGCCCACGCTGCCAAGGGACAGAGGGACGTGGGGTTGTAGAAGGAAATCCTGACCTGCAGGTGGCCCTACGTCCTCAGATACCTGCCGCATCCTGCCCCCACGGGAGGACAGGTGCCCTTCATCTCTTAGAGCCGCTCGGTCTTAGGCTGAGATGTCACCACGTCGAGGGGACCCCTCTCTCCAGTGCCGTGGCCCCGGGAACCCTGCACCTCGCCCCTTCCTTGCCCAAGTCCAGGGCTGCAGAAGCCTTGGCAGACGGCCCCCCCACTTCACGCGGGTGCTGCAGCCCCTGCTGCCCGAGCTGCGCTGTGTGGGCCTGGGCCGGCTTCCTCGCCTGTCTCTAGAGCCCAGATACTGGCCCCACCCCCCACCCCCCACTGCAGATCAAGGGTGTCATGGGAAAAGCAACCCCTCCTCCTGACAAGGCTGTGACCACGCTGTCACGTCGTCGCTTACGAAGTGAGGAGAGGTACAAGGACATTGTGCAAACATGGCTTCCTGGTTATTTACTGGGTGGGAGAACGTGGGTCACTCGGGGGCCCTACCTGGGCCCGCCCTGGACTTGCCGCCCAGCCGCAGGCAGGCCTCTGCAATCTTAAAATCGGCGTGGTGACAATCTTGGGCAGGTGTGGCTAGAGTCCCCGCCTCGAGCTGTGTGGTTCTGGGCCAGTAGCCTCACACCTGTGAGTCCCAGGTGTCTCGTGTGTGACGCTGACACCCGTGACTGCTCCATAGCCGACTGAGCCCGACACAGGTGGAGCCCTCGGCCTGACGTTGGGGCAGAGGAGGCCTCCGTGAGCACCAGGTGGCCGGGAGAGGTGGCACAGCAGGGAGATCTTGAGAGTGTCCCTGGGTCCCTCGGTGTCGACACCAGAATTCCTTCAGATCTGGACGCCCTGGGGGACCTGCAAGCTACCCAGCCCCCCTCGCTCCAGCCCCGTATGTGGGGCGGGCCACTCCCTGAGTGAATTCTCAGACTGATCCAAGACAGGCGCGCTCCCCTGCAGGGGAGACACGTGACTGTCTGCAGAGCCGGCCCCTCACCTGCACTGGCGTTCAGACCTGGCCACCGCAGCTCCCCTGGCATCCAGCCCCGCGGAGGGTGAACGGGACTGGGGACCCACTGTCCCTGGGGGTGGGGCATAGGGGTCATGCCATTTCTGGTCAAAAACTGCTGAACACTAAGTGCGTGGTGCAGGCAGGTGCGCTCGGAAATCACCCACCGTGAAATGGGTAAATGCGTTGTCTTCAAAAAAAAAATTCCCTGAAGCCCGAAAAAAACGCAGCCTCCCACAACCATACAGATGGGTCCCTAGAACACTCCCCGTGCGGGGGAAGTCTGCACTGCAAGGGGCCCGCCCTGCAGAAGACCATTCCAGGTCATTTTGGGCCCCCTCGTACATACAAGGAATATTATTGGGCCTGCTGCGTTTCTGCGGCCTGCACCCCACCTCCCCACGCAGGTGAGGGTGCTCGGCGCTGGGCCCCAGGGGCATCCGAGGTGCAGCAGTCAGCAGGGGCGGGAAGCAGGCAGGCCGGGCCTTCACCGTGCACAGCTGTGTGGCCAGCCGGGCCGGCTCCCGAGCGAGCCGAGAGGGACAGCGATGCTTCTTCGATGCTTCGGTAAGCAGCCTGACCCCGCTGTGCGGCTTCAGTCCACCCCCACACACCTGCGGTGCGGTGCAACTCCGGGCAGGGCAGGGCTGACCGAGACCTTGCACTCTGACCCTTGCCAGGAAAGGCAGGCTCTCTGGGCCCAACCCAGCGGCTGCTTTCTTCATCTTTCATTTTAAAGTCACACCTGACGTACAATGTTAGATTCGTTTCCGGTGTGCGGCACAGTGTTTAGAGCTTCATATCCTTTACCAAGTGGTTCCTCCAATTTTTCCAGTACCCATCTGACGCCCTACGTCGGTATTACAATCCTACTGGCTGTAGGCCTTGTACCGTACTTTACACCCCCCAGCTGTGACCACCAATCTGCACCTCTCGGGCCCTCCCCCTTTTTCTTTCTTTAGCCCCTGGACCGGCCTCACTAGTCATTATCCAAACCCGTGGGAGGTGTTGGTGGCGGCGGCACGCCCTCTGCTGGTCAGCGTCAGGATCGGCAGCTGCCTGAGGCCGAGGTAGTTGCTCGCTGTGAAAACTGGTCTGTCTGCCTTTGGGGCTTCCCGTTCTCTTAGGACCATAGCAAGGTCCTTAAGGCCCTGTCCAAAGCGATGCTTTAAAAAATGGAGAAATGGATGCTGCGGAGAGGAAGTAATTTGTTCCATGTTTCAGAGAGGCGGTGCAAAACCTTGCATCCGGTTTGAGGGAGGCTGTGTCACAGGACAGAGTGAACAAGGGTCGGATCAACTTGTATGGGGCCATAGAAGACACCTGCACAGCCCTCCCTCACCTGGCCTTCCTTCCCTGCCCTTCCTACCTTCCCCCCTTCCCCCATCCCAAGCCTCAGCCAGCGTCCAGGTGCCACACCGTGCTGTGGGGGCCTCTTGCCCACCACCCCTGACATCACCTGGTGGAGACCCACCCAGGGCTGCAGATGAAGCGCCCAGCCAGGGCCCGCAGCCTGGTGGGCTGTGCTGGGGTCTCGAACATCTGTACCAGCTCCCTCCTTTGGTTCTGAAAGGAAAGGAGGCCAAGAGAAAGGACCAGCTGGCCCTTGGTGCAGGTGCAGTGGGTGATGTGACCCAGACCCCCTTCCCAGGGTCCGAGCACTGGCCCTTCCCGGTGGTTTTGTTTTTTCACTCCGTGTGGACAGAGGGGTTGGACACGGACTGCTGGTACTCTTGGCAGGGTCTGTCTGTGTCTGCCTGGCTGACATGACTCGCATTTCCCTGGGGAGCAGATGCTCCCGCTGGGTCTGCACAGCTGGTCTGCAGCGGGTCCTCCAGCCTGACGACCCCCCCCTCCCCCGCCAGGCTGGTGCTGGTGGCTCTGGGAGGCTCTGTTCCCCGAAAGCCCATGGGCTCGTCTGGTATACTCAGAAAATCAAAGGCCCCAGACACTGCAAACACTCACTGAACTTGAGCTGGGACTCGGCCCAGCGAGCCAGAAGCATGTGTTCTAGGGGATTGTAGATATAAGCTCTGCTTCTTCATGAGCCCTGGATTCAGGCAGGGAAGCAAAACATCGAAGCAAGGTGTGTCTTACACAGCTATCAGTGCAGGAAAAACTGGGCATGTGGTCTTACACATAGGCTCAGTTGCTTTTATTACCTTTTCACATTTCTTACCTGTGATTAACATTCACTACTTTAGGATGAATGGTATGAAGGGCATGTTTGGGTGGAATCCAGAGAAAAACAAGGGGAGGGTTGATAGCCCAAGGCATCTTGTGAACAGGGGCCCTACCTTGCTTTAATTGTTCAGAAGCGTGTCCTTTAGAGGTGGCATAGGACAAGCAGCACCTGACTGAGGAGGTATGCCAAGAATCCCACTTACCAATTGCTGACCTGGGGCAGTGTGCTTAACCTCATGACTTCCATTTTCTTTCCATTCCTACAAGGGATTTTCTTAATCAAGTGACATTACTAAGAGTAAATGTTTGAAAACAATAAAATCCTGTGACCGTGTGGCCTAGTGGGGTTATTACTGGAGGTGACCGGGGAAAGAGGCAGAGCTCGTTGGGTTCGCTGTGTTCTGAGAATGAGGCTGGTGTTTGGCCCTGATGACGTGCCAGTCAGGTCTGGACAAGAGGCCGGGGGCCGGCTGTAATTCTGTCCCTGTGAAGGTGAGAGAGTGTAGCCTTGGTTTCAAGTTCACCCTCACTGGTGGGCAGGTGAGGAACCCTGTCTGGAACAGGGAAAGGAAGTGGAATAGGACCAAATTTTGAGACTATTTTTAAAAACTGAGGAAGGCAGAGTAAACATTAGGAAAATTCTTTCATTAGACCTTCGCCCTTGGGGCTGGATTAAATCCACAAAGGTTTATTGAGCACCTACTATAAACCACACAGGCCGCTAAGCTCCGGGGGCACTTGAAGACCCAGGTGCCTTCCAGAAGCCTGTACTTCAGGCCTCCGCCTCCGGTGATACGCAGCACCTGTTCCAGGGATCGGAGCAGATGTCCCCCTTTTTCTCACCAGAACGGCAGAAAAAAAGCCGGCAGGTCCCATGGCGCAAAAGGCAGATGGTATTTCGGATTCCGGGCGGAATGTCCCCTGTGGGTCCAAGAGAACAGAGCTGATATTTCCTTCATGCAGAGAGTCAAGGTGGAGCCCAGACCACAGCCCGACTCCAAGGGCTGGCTCTGTTCTTACAATGTTGACTGCCTCTGGGCAAGTTCAAGAGCAACTGCACATCAGTCCTGAGCTCTAAATCAGGAACAACAATCTACATCGTTACAGTACATCAGGGCTCGCCAGCTTCCCGGGGGTGGATGTGAGTGAAGGCGTTAGGGAAGGCCAGGAGGATCTTGGGGAACAGCGGACTAATGGAGGGGTGAGTCTCAGTCCCCGGGAAAATGGGAAATAGTTCTGACCCTCAGCTTTGGCTCAATTTTTAGTTTTATATCTTACCATGGAAAGCATAAAATAAAGCCTCTCTCCTTCCATAACTCACGGATGTGTAGGTCAAACACAAGTACCTCTGTTCCCATTAGGAAAATATTTTGTACTTGTCACAAGAAAAAAACATTACATCTACGTGAAGTGATGGATGTTAACTAGACATACATGCTGAACATTTTGTGATATCTATAGCTATCAAATAGATACAGATATAGAAACTAATACAATGTTATTTGTCAGTTATACATCAATTAAAAAAAAAGACATTTGCCACGTGGGAATGAGAGAATTGAAAGAAAGGTCTCATGTCAGGCCTGCAAATGCCACCTATGGTGACTAAAAAAAAAAGCAGAACTAAAAAGCCCCCGAACACCCAGGGTGCTGGTCCCACAGGAGGTTAACAACCTTGCGCCCCATCTCAGCCACACACGAGGTCAACATCTGATCCTGCAGCCTTGCGGGCTTGGGGAGGACAGGGAGGCGAAGGGACGGCCCCACATGTGACGCGGGAGGAACGGCTGCCGGCCTAGTGACCTGAGGCTGAGAGGTCTAGCCTCGCCGGTCCCAGTGTGAGCGCTCGCTCCTTAGAGAGATACACATCAGTTTTCTCACCTGTCAAATGGGCTGTTTCCACCCCCAGGACTGTGATTGTCACTGGCCCAGCAGAGCATTTCCCCGGGTGGTCTCCTCTCCCTCTGGAGTGTGGAACTGCCACAGAAGGTCCCCAGTCCCTTCTAGTTCTGACACCCCAGTGACTGCGTCACCTTCTAAAGATTCCTCACCCTGCGTGAGCGCTTCCTATTGGTTCCAGAGCACAGGCACCCCTTTGTCATTATCATGACCCTGACAATTCATAGGGGAGATGAGAACAGCCCAGAGCTGAGCCCCAGGGGGCTCCCCTTGCACCCCAGCAGCAGGCAGACACCCGTGAATTCTCTCACCATCTCCCCCTGCCTCCCCAGTTCCTCTCTCTGGGCCAGCAGTGGCTCCCACACTGGCAGGGACATATTTACCTGACGTCATTGGGACCAGACAGTGGAGGACAGCAACCAGAAAGAGGACCTTCATGTGTGCGGTCTCCCTCGGCCCGCCCGGCCCTCCTGGGCGGAAAAGTGGGTCTGCCAACAGGTGCAGTGGAGTGGAGAGCACAGCACAGAAAGGGGACATTTATAGGCTTTTGGGAGCACTAATCAGGCACGAGCACGTTTATCTGGTCTGCTGAGTAAGGCTGTGGGCAGACGGTTCTGAAAGCACTTCTGCCTAAAAATAGACGGGCTTTTCTGCTCAGAGGAGCAGGCCATGCTCAGTAACCCAGGAAACTGAGGCTGGAGCGCAGAAGGGACCTGGCGCCGGGAATGAATACTTAGCCCCCGGTTCTGTGCCAGGGGACAGAGGCACAGATGGGCAGGGACGTCTTCTCTGCCTTCAGAAAGCTAAACACATGGATCCACTCGCACACACACTCCCAGCAGACAGAGGCCCGCGAGCACCAAGAGACAGGTTCAAGGCCGTCTGTCGGAGCTTCCTCCCTCACAGTGGTCAACAGAATGGAAGTGTGTCACAAGACAGTGCGGGACAGTGACATCCCCACACAGCAGTGGACGCAGAACACCACTGGGGACGCTCCTCACAAACAGTCTGTATTTTAAAAAGGAGGGAAACTGTACGGCGTTATTTTTAGAGTTTGGCAAACTGAGTCTATGTATTAAAAATCAGGAAGTTGTTCAGGGGAAGAGGGTAGACTCTCCCCTCATTCGACCAAGTGTCCTGACCCCAGGGGGTAGCAGTGCAGCGGGGGACAGGAGGCCGTGTTGGCAGGCACTGGGGAGAGCTCTGTGGGGTGCAGGGGGTGCCGGGTGGGGCCCTGCTGAGAGGGGGACACGAGGCTGGTCTTCACAAGGGGGCCGGCACCAGAGGAGGATCTGGAAGGACAGCTTCACGTAGGTCTAGTTCACGGTGGATGCTGGAGCGCCCAGCTGATGCAGCTACACACTCGCCCGACTTGACTGGAGACTTGGGGCAGCCTTTGATTTGCTTCCCTTGCAATTTACTCCTTAGAAGTGAAAGCCACCTCTCCCTCCCCTCCTGTCCCGTCCCCAGGACTTCATGACAGCTGTCACCGGGTTCTTACCAGTCCTCCCAGAGGTCGTCTCTGTGCCCATAAGCACACAGGAATCTATCTATGCCTCCTTTTTGCATAAACAGTAACAGACCATACCTATTATTCTGGACTTGCCCTGTTTCAGCTGAAATATCTTAGAGATTTTTGAAGTGGGTGCCTGGAGTGCTTCCTCATTCTTCATTGCAGCTGCAGGTGGTCTCCCATCTTGTTTAACCAGTCCTGTCTGGAACCAGCATACCTACCATGATGCTCACCTAGAACATGGATGTTGACAGACAAGAAGATGTCGGGTGTGGCCCAGGATTCTGCAGGTGAGCAAGGGCACAGAGGAGCCATGTCCCAAGCAGAAGAGGTGAGGGCCAGGCATTTGGTTTGGAGATTACAGGCTAAGAAATATTAAGATTAAAAAAGATTAAGCAAAGATGGTGGGTGGGTGCTAACAAAGAGTACCCTGATTCACTGGCCTTTCTCCACCTTGTTAAAAAAATGTATGAAAATCGGACTTAAGAGAAAGTGATTTGGGAACTAAAAGTTACTTTTCTCTCTTTGGCAATCAACAGGTCACTCTATATATAACCATGAATTAAGTAATTATAAAGTAGATATCTAGGGGTGTGTGTGTGTGTGTGTGTGTGTGTGTGTGTATGCATGAGACCCAAACAGTAAATAATAAACCTGTTAAAATATAAAATCCTTTCCCCAGGGAACATTTGTTCTAAATACATCTCTGAAATCTCCCCTGGTAAAAAGGGCATAAGCAGTTAGAGTCCACCCTTGAAAGACTGGCTTCCACAGCAAGATCACAGCCTATGTTCAAGGGTGCCAGTGAATAATTGTGACTCTGTGTGCCTGCCCCCATGCAGGGAGAACACATAGCTATCAGAAATGAGAGTTATTGTTTGATAAAAATAACAGGATGCTTATATCCAAATACATGGGCTGTTTAAAAAGTCACCTTGGTGGATGAGGTCATAAAAAGTGCACTTTATGCTTTGTATTCATTCCTGCTATTTATACTAATTTAGAAAAGATTTAAGGTATTTTTTTCTTAGTAATAAAGCCACTGCTCAAGTGTTGTGAAATGAGTTTGAAAATTGTTTTCTGTATCTTTTGGAAATGTTAGAAGGTATGTTGGAAAGCCACCTCATTTGAGGGAGAAATAATACTATCAGGATTTATCACCAATAAATTTCTTATATGAATTTAGTTCCAAGTCACAGACTTGAAAGGCAGCTGCTAAGGAAGGCTTTCATGAATAGTCCTGGAGACTCAGGCATGCCATTCCAAAGGACGACAAACTAGAAAATCAAGCCCATTGGGCAATTTCATTAATCTGGTCATAGGTTCATAAATTCCTGTAATTACAGGGTTGAAAGGAGTTCAAGCTCAGTTTGTTCCAACAGAGAAGGTAATTGTTCTGAGGGGCATCGCCTTCATATCAAAGGGGGCAAAATGAGGAGGGAGAGAAGATACACTTGGGTTTGCAAACATTTGGCAGCAGCAAACCATTTCTGTGTATTAAAAGAAAATCTTGATGCTGTCCAACAGTTATAAGACAAGCAGCCCAATTAAAAAATAAAGTGAGCAAAGGACTCAAATAGACTTTTCTTCAAAGAAGAAATACAGAAGGCCAACAAACCGACAGAAAGATGGTCAACATCAATGGTCATTAGGGAAATGCAGTTGAACCCACAGAGATACCAGTTCATATGCGCTAGGGTGGCCATAAACCGCAACAGCAGCAGACGGGAAAACAGCAGGATGCGAGGATGAGGAGAAATCGGACCCTCTTCCATCACTGGTGGGAATGTCAAACGGTGCAGAGAGAAGTTTGCTGCTTCCTCAGTAAGTTAAATATAGAGTTATCATATGAGCGAGCAAATATTTACAAATATATGTATGTGTACATATATAATGACAACAGTATTCAAATAAAAACGTGTCCATGGATGTTCATAGCAACACTGTTCACAATAGGCAGAAAGTGGAAATAACCCGCATGCCCATCAGCTGATGAGTGAACACACAGCGGGGGACAGGCAGGCACTGGAGCACCACCCTTCAGTATCAGCAAGGAATGAAGGACTGAAGCACGTTCTCACATGAACGGAGGTTGAAAACTTCGTTAGGTGAAATAAGGTGGACACAAAAGGCCACACGTGTGATTCCTTTGGTACGAAATGGGAAGAACTGGCAAATCTAAGAGGACACAGCAGGTAGACAAGTGGTTGCCCCAGGCTGGGAGGGGGGTGGAACGGGGGTGTCTGATTACTGGGTGTCTCCTTTTGGGGTGATAAAATGTTGTGGGACTAGGTCGTGATCCTGGTTGCCCAACATCGGGAATGTATGTAATCCCACCGAGGAGTGAACTTTAAAATGGCTAAAGTGGTAAATTTTGTATTGTGTATGGGTATATTTACTAGAGCTAAAAGAAAAAGCCTTGAGGATTTTTGATGTCACATATTATCAGAACAGAAAGGATCTGTTAATGATTGTGCTGTTACAATCTTCCTCATGTTAAAGAGATTGA